CGCGCTCCACTAGCTGTCTGAACTGAGACAGGGAACTGACGATAGTCAGCGAACTGTCATTTTTGCATGTTGCTGGTGGTGGATGGGTTTACAACATAATATCTTTTCGACCAATCCAGGGTCGCGTTCGGGAGAATTATGCTTTGTGTCACTCGCTGTTCTTCTTCCTCCCCTCTCTTATGCATCTCTCCTCTCTGAGTTTATGTGTATCTCGCTGCCTAAGGTTGTTCTAATCGTCTGAAGGATCTTGCCATGATAATGTGTTAATTGAATTGCAATTACCATTTTTTCATGCAGTAACCTGCGTAGGAATTAGACTATGTGCAGAGTGGCTACGGTTGGATTGGACAATATGGCTGCTCCTTTTGTTCGAAATTGTTACAACTGCGGGTTGCCGGGTCATTTCTCGAGGGAGTGTCCTCATCCTAGGAGGGTGCCGGCTACTGGTGCTAATGCCACGGCTGTTAGTACTCTACTTGCTCTGCCGGCTCCGACGGCATATGCGGCTGCACCTGAGACGATCCAGGCTCCTGCCCCAGCCTTTGCTGCGCCCAGCTATGAAAGAGGTGGTGGCGGGGGGTACTGGAGGCAAACACTTGATCGATGCGCAGCGTTTGTTGACAAAGCGGAGGCCAAGGCGGTGAAAGAGCAAGAAGAAGAAAGACGTAAGGAAGTACAGAAGGAGAGAGAGGAGTCTGAGGCGAGAATGGGAGAGAGACTCGAGAACCGTTTGACCTCAATATATGGACCGGGTGGTCCTGCTGGGGGGAAGGCTCAAGTGGTAGCGGCGGTTGAAGCACCTGGTCAAAGCAAAGAAAGCGATGAGGTGACTAGGCTGAAACGTGAGAACGAAGAGTTCAAACGAAGACTGGAGAGGGAGAGTAGCAGCAGCGAAGGTTTGATCGGCAGAATATTGAGAGAAAACGAAGAGCTAAGGAGGAGGGCTGGCTTGGCTCGGGATAACGTAGAGGGCAATTTGGATAAGCTAATGAAGGAGATACAGGAACTTCGCGAGGAAAGGAAGCTTGACAAGGACATATTAGAAGGACTGAAGTCGGAAATCAGTATGTTGAGGAAGGAGAAGCAACTATCGATGGAGGAAACGGAGATGTGGAGGAACGAGGCCTTGAGGCCGGGCAACAAACGGGGTACTATAAGCATTGGGACACCGGACTTTTCTACACGTGCTCGTCAACGGATTATGGAATCGCCTAACAAGAACTTCAGGGAAGAGTTGCGGTTGATGAAGGACAAAGAGTATTGTGCGCTAAGGGAGGTTGAAGCACTGAAACAGAGGAGGGCCGAGTCGGAAGCCAGAAAACTGGATGCGGAAGCTCGCAGAGTCGAGGCCGAAGCTGAGGTGGCGAGACTGCGGGAGCAGGTAGAGAAGTTATCTACTAAGGATGCGCGTTTACCAACGGAAGGTACAAATCTGAAAAGCCGCTTGGAAGCTGTGGTGACAAGTGGGCGCAAGACAGTAAGGAGAGGTAGGCCGAGGGCTACCCCTTCGAAAACACCGAGGGCTGAGAGCTTGGCTACTGTTGAGAATGACCGGTTTGTCTTCTTGCAGGAAGAGAGGAAGAAACTCAGGGCTCTCATTTGTTGTCAGGAACAAGACCTGTTTGATTTGGAAAGGTTCGTCATCAAATTGTTGTCGCCATACCTGAATAGTAAGGACCGACCGAGAAGGCATCGAAAATGTCGAGCAGGTAAACGTGAGCGGCGAAGGAAGTCTCAGGCAACAAAAGTGGGTGGTACGACGAGAAATCGCACACATCTGTCTTTTGAACTGCCTGATTCTTCTTTTGTAAGTCTTCTTAGAATTCTTAACTGCTGTAGGGACAAGGGACTGCAAAAAGTGGGTGTGGTATGTCGGGGTGGCGATTTGTTGGTTAATCAATGGAAGCTGTTGAAGCGTTGTTATGGCTCATCAGAGGTTAGCTCAGTGTTTGGGACTGCACAGCTACGGAGAGTGAGGGGTTGGCTTGCGAATAGGGTGCCTATTCAATTCAACTCTATTATTTCCTTTTGTTCCTCCCTTGCTGTCTACAAACCAATGTTGGCTGGATTATTGAGCAACCCGCCCTCTCGCAAACAGTTGCTTTCCTGGGACTTTGATAGACTGGTATGGATGTATAGTGTTGTGTGTGCTTTCTCAGAAAAACGAACCACGTATACGTTGAGGTGTATATTATCTGGTGTCATCCACCGCAGATTTGGTTTTAACGTACGCACCCGTTTGGTCGTGAAGATTACCTTTGATGAGACGTTGTGCAAGGCGGGGATTCGGAGACTGTGTATTGCCCTGTTGGAAGGGTTGGACATATCGGTGGGCTGGAAGTGGATGCTAGTAAGGCGGATGAGGTTGGTGTGGGGGAAGAACCGAAGCATAGGTGATATCCTCCATAATTTTCGTTTGGCTTCTAGAGAAGAGACTGCTTGTTGTTGTTGCATAGGGAGGTTTGGAGATTTACTGAGACGGGATGGTCACATATGTTTTCAGATGTCGGAGTTTGACTTCGCGCCCGATTGGCTTCAGAACGCTAGAAACATTCCTAAACCTTCGAACAGTTGTACCATCCGTACGCTAAGGAAGCAGGTACTATCTGCCTTTGAGTTGCTGTTGAGTCGGTAGGATGTCAGGGGAACTGCTCAGTGCTTGTTTCAATCGATCTCGCGGTGTGAATGAGGGAGCATGCAACACAGATGAGGTGGACCGATGGAAGGTCAGATTGGAAGGGTTAGTGTGTTGTCCCATTGACCACAACCCGGGAGACACGTTTGTGTGTTGCCCGGTAATTTATCGAGGGGGTATGGATGGGCTGTTCCTGGATAACCCTGGGTTTGAGGTGTGTGACCGTAATGAGGTGGAGGTCAATGAGTGCAATGGCCGCAAGTTCAAGGAGCTAGGTGTGACTACTTTGGGCAGGTGGAATGAACATGGTAGGTTGGGCAAATGCTACGCCATTCCGAAACACAAGGATACTCGGAAGTGGAGGCCGATCTGCCCATCATATGAGGAGGGAGGGAATTAGGCCTGTAAGCGGGTGGCTAGGGCTATCAATCAGATGCTCTGGGATTTGTCGGCACGTGGCAACTTCAATATGCGCAGTACGGAGGATCTGGTGCAGAGAATTTCGACTGCGAACAGGGATTTGGGTTGTGGGGAGGGCTTCGTGGCAGCAGCATTCGACATTAAAGAAATGTTTTGTAACTTACCTCATGAGGCTGTAATGGACGCGGTTCGTTGGGTGATTGACTTCTGGACACTGCATGGCGGAACCAGTGTGTTGCTGAAAGCGAGAGGTAAAGGGGCTAAAGTAAGAATGGGGAATTTGCAACCTGGCTGGAAGGAAGTTAGTTTTGTGGATATTTTGAGGTTTGTGGAACTTGATTTGAGTTGTACTTACGTGAATGCATGTGGTGTAGTGCTTCGGCAGCATGTGGGTATTCCAATGGGTAAGGCTTCGAGCCCTGCCCTCGCTTGCCTACTTTGTGGTTTTGCGGAATTCACCTTCCTTAATTCCCTGGGTTCGCGGCAGACGATTACGTATGGTGCAAGGACAATTGATGATGTCTCCATTTTCGTACGATATAGGATAGGTGATGCTGAGTCTCGGATGAGGGCGAAAGGTGTGATATAAAGGTTTGAAAGCTGTTATCACGAGAAGCTTGCACTCCAGCGAACGGATGATGGAGTTTACTGGGATTTTTTGGGCTGCACTGTGGGGGTGAAACCGGAGGGAATCGTGTGTGTGGCAAAACATAAAAAACAGGAAAGAGTGTGGGACGGAAAATTGATTTTCCTGAATCTGCAGGACTTCTGTTCGTATTCCAGTAGACAGCAGAAGCTAGCTGTTACCGGTTCCTTTCTCTATCGGACGAAGAAGTTTACCACGCTGCAGGGAACGGAGGCTGCTTTTCTGCTGACACTGAAAATTGAACTCGGACTGAGGAGATTTCCGGACCATTACTTTGATGATGCATTAAGAACCTTCTCCTGCAAATTTGGGGGACTGTGGGAGGACTGGGTGGAGTGTTTTACTGGCTGGGAGTTGGGTTGGAGAATAGGAAGGAGGGGTCGTGGGCGTTCCTCATGAGTTGGGTAGCCTTTGTCTGTTGATTTTTCTGTTTTTTCTTGTTTCTTGTTTCCTTTTTAGTTTTCCTGTTTCTTTTTTTTTGTTTTCTTCTTTCTGTTAACATTGGAAGACGAGGGTCACCTCTTTGCTGGTCGTTACCATTACTGAGCCCATTTACTTTTAGAAGTGGGTATTTAGCTAGCCTAACCCTGCCTGTTCTGGCTATCTTTTTCTACGCCTCCTTGCTACAGTTTTTATTCTGGCTTCGTCTATCTGTCTGTTAAGTGCGGGGACTGGGACTCTGACTTCTGTTGAAAGCCTTCCTTTTCTTATAGGACCCTTGGGTAGGCCTCTTAGCTGTCTGTCCTTTCCTTTTCTACTCAACTCTTGTTCTACCGG